CCATCCGCTTTGCAGATTGCCTGAAGTCACCGTATTTAAACCTCCATGGCCACAAAGGGATTTTTATTCTTCCTTGGATTTGAACCTGGGACTTCCTGGTACTTTTGATCTTTAGAGTCAAACTCAAACCAATCAGGCACCACCCTTATGGTTAAATAAATAAAATTAAGAACTTATATTCAAATTGTATCATTAACTATGTCAACTGAGATGTTAAAATAGAGAAAAGAGGGGAGACAATAACATCTTCAAAACGGAGAATCAAAAGTCAAAATCTCCAACAACATTTCAATTTTGCAGATTACAATATTAATTATATTATAAAAATATTCAATATAATTTATAAACTATAATATCTATTTTATAAATATTTTCTCATTGGTAGGAAGAATAAAAAATCATTTCTATTTTTTAATCAATCATTTTTTGGACTTCTTCCAATATGAAGATGCCCTAAAACCTCTCAAAAATGGAGAAAATCAGAGAGAGTGGATGATTTTTTTTAAGAACTCTACAAAAATGATTTATTAGAAAAGGAAAATGATTTTTTTTTATTGTTTTTGCCAATGAGAATTCATATTGTAATCTCTAAAATGGAGAAGCTGTTGGAGATTAACGTAATTTCTTTTTTGGAGAATTTAACTTTTGAATTATTTATTTTAGAGAATCTTCAAACCTGAAGAAATCTCTAAAACTTCATATAAGAGAGAGAGATAATATTTTAATAATTTTCTACCAATAAAAGGTATTAATATTAAAATCACAGGAGAGATAAATAATTTATTATTAAATATATTGAATATTTTATTAATATTAGAAGGGTACTCGTACAATGTAGCGAGATACATCTTAATTTTAATGTTTTGTGTTTTTTTTTTGTCTCGGTCGTTGTTATAATACGATTTTATATGGTTTTGAGAAACGATAATTTTTTATTTTTAAATAAGATATAAATCTGAAGATATCATAAAGAGTTGAAAAGAAATATTAATATTAGTACTAAACTAACTTTTTTTTGTATTTCTTTAATAATTTTTTATTTTTTGTTTAATAATATATTTTTTATAAAGATAATAATTAAGTATTTTCAATGATTATCCTGATTATATTTTAAATTTTTTATATTTAAAATGAGAGGTTTATCCTCTCGATTATGTTTATCTGCAGTTAGTTACACGAATTCAAAACATAAAGCTGTAATAAGTTGTAGTTACGCACAATTTACTTGTAATCTTGAATTTTAAGTAATATGCATCTATAAATAGTAGTTCAATCATAAAAATAATTTTTAAAAGTTTTTGTTAAATGTTTTATAATATAATATAGAAAATTAATATTATAATTGTTAAAATAGAGTAATTATTATTGGATGGATGTGGGATTTTGTGAGGCTACCAATATTTCTAAGGGTGGACTTGGTATGTATCAAATCTTTTTTTGCAATACCTTGTACTAATCAATTATAATTGGTATAAAAAATCTTATTACGTGTACCAGCCAACGTTTATGTTGCAATTTTTAGTTTTCAGATAACACATATGATATTTAAGGGTTTTTAATTGCAAGAACTATAATTTGCAAGCATTCAACTATTCAAATTAAATAGTTAAAGTTACAAATTTTAATATTCAATACACAAAAAATTTAAAAACTAATGAATAATTAAATAAGTTGGTATCATGATATTACTGTAGTACATAACTTTCAATGTCATGTACCAACTAAGTTTGAATATTTGATATGGTACTAACAACCAATTTAATTGGTACGGTTGATACACATGTTGGTTGATTTAGTTTGGTATAAAATTTACATCCGTAATTATCATCCAATAGAAAACAATACTTTATGAGGTATATATAAGACATCTCCGAATACAATAAATTTTACCATTGGTAATTAATAATTACCGTATTTATTAACCATATTCATCTTAGAATCAATGTTTAAGACACTTGCGAATTAATGTTAAGAGTAATTTGATATACAATATTATTACTAGGGGTTGTTTGTTTACCTCTTAATGGTTCTAATATGAGAGAACATCTGAATCGTTAATAGGTGAATTTTGTTTGACAAAAAAAATATGTCTCTTAATGGTTCTAAAATAATCTGAATAATTTTGTATCTATGAGCCTCTCTTAACTATTAAGCGCATTAATTTCATTGTAAACAATTACCAAACAAATATATTCTATTTTTGCACTATATGATAAGAGTCTCTTAATCATTCTGCACCAAACATTCAGCAACTGCTAAACAACCCCTATAATTAAATAACCGACAAAAGGTTCTTTGATATGGAACAAAAATTCTGGACTTTAAAACAAAAAATAGACATTTTTGCCATGACACTTTTTAATAAAGAACACAAATACACAATATACCATGTAATAAAAAGTTAGGTCTTGTTTATTTATTTTAAAAAAAGTTTTTATTAGCTTCTTGTATCTGATTTGTTAAGAGGTAAAGTCATTTAAACTGTTTGTTTTTTCCAATTTTTTATAGTCACTTATGTCTTATTTTTTTTATCTGGTAAAAGGTAAACCAACATATTGCTCTTCAAATGCTCAACAACGGCATTTCTCAATCAATTAACCTTAATATATCATTTCCCTCAATCAATTCTTACCAAATCAATAATCACGTCTCTCAATTGATGTATTTTAATATGATTTAAATGTGTTAAATACGTTAATGACATATTTTCGTTTAAATGAATGCTAATTATGATTTAGATGTAAATACCGTAATGATGATAAATAAATATGTGAAATGATATAAAATTTTATTTATAAATTCAACAATATACTTTTTAATGGGTAAAGTAGACAATTTAAACAAATTCAGACGTTTATCAGTTTATAAAAACAATCAATCTTATTGATTCATATTTCAGACGTCAGCACCACCTCTTATAAATAAAAAATAAAATAAGACTTCAAACTTCAACACCTCTTAAAAAAATAAACTCCACCTTAATTTCTCGAATTTAATGTCAAAATTCTAATTTAATGTCAAATTCTAATATAAATGTTTGTAACTGAAGTGTTCTAGGTATTGAAACATGTAATAGAGTGAATTAAATTTTTGGTCCCTTATTTGAGGCTGTTTTCTGATTTTCATCCTTCAAATTTGTAAAATACACTTTTGGTCCCTTTTGTCATGGCTATAACGGAATTAACTAGTTTCGGCTTCAAAACACGAAATATAGACTAAAAGAATATTTTACAAATTTGAGGGACTAAAACCAGAAGGCAACCATAAATGAGGGACCAAAATTGCGATTAACACATTGTAATGAAAAAAAATCAAAATCTCTAAACAAATTTTTTATACGAAGGTTCAAAACGACGTAGGACGAGCTCAAATGCTCAAGTCTTACAAGTCATAACGAGTACATGTTTAAGGTGTGAATAAGATGACAAATATGTATGATAAATATATAATTTTATATAAAGGATGAATAAAATACAAACCAAGCTATTTGTACAAACTGTGAAAATCTTATTCAACTAATCATAATTTTTTCTTTTTTAATTATAAGGGTTTTGATTAATCATTTTTATTTTGGGGGCTTTAATTATGAACATTATCATTCATTTTATTAATTTTAGTAAACAAATTTCATCAAAATGAGACGTACATGAAACAATTTAATTTTTACACATAAACAAAAATACATGAAACAATTCATCAAAACATGAATTATTTGAAATAATTTCATCATATTAAACAATTTCACTAAATTAGACAAATGTAATCTATGGTTTTCAAGGTTTGAACAAGTGACTTGGTCTGCATTTATCCCACCCCATTTTATATATATATATATATATACATATATGTTTTCTATTTATTATTCGATAATATAATGATATTAAATTTTTTACATCCATAAAATTAACCAGTATTACATAAAAAGTTTGTGACCAGTTACTTAAAATAGATCTTTGAAAGGTTTTACAACTTTGTTTTAACAACGAGTCTTTGACATATATGAATCCAAGAAACTGTGAGTAATATGACTAACAAATGTTGTAAAAATATAAAATCTAAAACTAAAAGTGTAAAAACACAAAAATTGAAAAAAATTAAAGAAGAAAGTCACGTTTTGGAAAAAACGCACGCCATGACACGCTTCAAGAAGCCATGGCCCACCTTCTCATAACGGTGGGGACGCGTTTTTACACCATGACCCACCTTTTTGTACTATTTATATTCATCTCTAATAACTTCTCTATTTTGAAGATTGTAACATGAATTATATTATTAAAATATTCAATATATTTCATAAAATAATATTTCTTTTATCTATACATTCAATTTTTAAAGACTCTCATTAGTAAGAAAAATAAAAAATAGTTTCTCTTTCATAAATAATCATTTTTGGAAAGTTTTTTGAAGTTTGGAGAATCTTGTCATCTCTCTCACACTTTCTACATTTTAAAGAATCTATCAGAATAAAAAAATCATTAAAATCTTAACTTTAGAAATCTGTTGGAGATGTTTTTACATTTTTTCTTCATAGATGGAATGAACGTGTATTTTAATTGAAAGAACCAATTTTAAAGAAATATTAACTTTAAGTACAAAGCTTCTATTAAAGACTTACTGAATAAGTCATTTTTTATATTATTAAGCCACTACCAAACAATCATATATAATTGTCTGAATAAATTGTGAGTCTTATTAAACTAATTAAGTTACTAACAAACAGAATAAATTTCTTATTTTCTCGTGTTTTCATTTTCAAAATCATAAATTAAAGGGTTGAAATTAGAACTTAGTGATAATATAAGGGGTTAAATGCAATTAAGCCAAGTAAAATTGTTGTGAGCCTTGGTCTTAATGTGGGAAGGTGATAAACACACACTCTGACACACTCCCCGATTCTTACAACAACACACACGCACAGACATCCCCATTACCACCTTTCCCTTTTTCTCTCTCCCTCTCTACAAACCCTCAAACCCACCCCTCTCCTTCGATCCCACAAAACAACAAAAGCATCCCCGTTATAATTCCTTCAAGATTTCTGCAAATCTTCCCAAGAATCCCCACACAACTTTCATGAGATCTCTCTTTCATTCGCACTCTCAGTAAGGTATATACCCAACTATATATATATATATATATACATACACACACACACACACATTTCTGTATCTATATGTCTGTATATACATTCATACATGTATATAATGCTTCTACATTTCTTGCTGCTTCTGGGTTTTTGATTTTTTGTTGTATTTGTTGATCTTTCTACGGTATGAATCTGTTCTTTCTCAGTTACACTAGCTTTAAGCTCTTCAATGTGCTTGTAGTTTCGATTTTTAAGCTGCAAAATGTGATTCCCTTTTGTTGGATTTGTGCCTATTTTAGGGTTTTGGTTTGTTTCAGATCAAGAACATTCAGATCTGCACCTTTTAAACCCACCTTTTGGTTTCGAAATCAGAGATTACGATGCCCTTTTGTGGACTTTTAACGATGTGTGTTCTTATGTTCTAGCTTTGATTTGGGATCTTTTGGTTCAATAATCGATTATTAAGTGGTTTTTGAGGAACCCCAGATGAAATAATTGATTATTAACTGATTTTTGTTCGTTTCCGAGGAACCCCAGATGATGCAGAGACCACCACCCCATGAAGATTTCTCACTCAAAGAGACCAAACCCCACCTCGGCGGTGGGAAGGTCACCGGAGATAAGCTCACGAGCACCTATGATCTCGTCGAACAAATGCAATACCTTTATGTTCGTGTTGTTAAGGCCAAAGATTTGCCGGCGAAGGATGTCACCGGAAGTTGTGACCCTTATGTTGAAGTTCGAATGGGAAACTATAAGGGAACAACTCGCCATTTCGAGAAGAAGACAAATCCCGAATGGAACCAAGTGTTTGCTTTCTCGAAAGACCGGATTCAGGCAACGATGCTCGAGGTTACCGTAAAAGATAAAGATGTTATGAAAGATGATATAATGGGTGGGGTTTTGTTTGATCTTAACGAGGTTCCGAAAAGGGTTCCGCCAGATAGTCCGCTAGCTCCGCAGTGGTACCGATTGGTGGATCGGAAAGGGGATAAACTTAAGGGCGAGTTAATGTTGGCGGTTTGGTGGGGGACTCAAGCGGATGAAGCGTTTCCTGAAGCGTGGCATTCGGATGCTGCAGCCGTTAGTGCCGATGGGTTAGCTAGTATTCGGTCAAAAGTGTATCTTTCACCGAAACTTTGGTATCTTCGAGTTAATGTGATCGAAGCTCAAGATTTGATGCCGAATGATAAGACTCGGTTTCCCGAAGTTTTCGTGAAAGCGATCCTCGGAAACCAGGCTTTGCGGACTCGAATCTCAATGAGTAAAACCATAAACCCGTTATGGAACGAAGATTTGATGTTTGTAGCCGCTGAACCGTTCGAGGAACCGTTGATTTTGAGCGTGGAGGATCGGGTTGCGCCTAACAAAGACGAGGTTCTTGGACGGTGTGCGATTCCGTTGCAGTATGTGGACCGGCGGCTAGACCACAAAGCGGTCAACACACGATGGTTCAATCTGGAAAAACACGTTATGATCGAAGGCGAAAAGAAGAAGGAAGTTAAGTTTGCTAGCCGGATTCATATGCGGGTTTGTTTGGAAGGCGGTTATCACGTTCTCGACGAATCGACACATTACAGTAGCGATCTTCGGCCAACGGCTAAACAGTTGTGGAAAAATAGCATCGGGGTTCTCGAAGTCGGAATCTTGAGTGCTCATGGGTTGTCGCCGATGAAAACGAAAGACGGGCGGGCCACAACCGACGCTTATTGTGTGGCGAAATACGGGACGAAATGGATCAGAACGAGAACGATAATAGACAGTTTTACCCCCAAATGGAATGAGCAATACACTTGGGAGGTTTTCGATCCGTGTACCGTCATAACGATCGGTGTGTTTGATAATTGTCATCTTCAAGGCGGCGGAGATAAAGCGGGCGGGGCCCGTGATTCAAGGATCGGGAAGGTTAGGATTCGTCTCTCCACTCTCGAAACCGACCGTGTTTATACCCATTCGTACCCGCTTTTGGTTTTGCATCCATCCGGGGTGAAAAAGATGGGCGAGATTCATCTTGCTGTTCGGTTTACGTGCTCGTCGTTACTCAACATGATGCATATGTATTCACAACCGCTATTGCCGAAAATGCATTATATTCATCCGTTAACCGTGAGCCAGCTCGATAGCTTGCGGCACCAGGCGACTCAGACTGTGTCATTGCGGCTGAGCCGGGCTGAGCCGCCGTTGCGGAAGGAGATCGTGGAGTATATGCTGGACGTTGGTTCTCATATGTGGAGTATGAGAAGAAGCAAAGCGAATTTCTTAAGAATCATGGCGGTTTTGGGTGGGTTGATCGCGATTGGAAAATGGTTTGATCAGATTTGCAACTGGAAAAACCCGATCACCACCGTTCTCATCCACATCCTGTTTCTGATCCTCGTTTTATACCCGGAGCTCATTCTGCCGACCATTTTCCTTTACCTTTTCTTGATCGGAGTTTGGTACTACCGATGGAAGCCGAGAAATCCGCCACATATGGACACCCGTCTTTCATGTGCCGATAATGCTCACCCAGATGAACTCGATGAAGAATTCGACACTTTCCCAACTTCCCGACCCGCTGACATCATCAGGATGCGGTACGACCGGCTGAGAAGTATCGCCGGCCGGATGCAGACGGTGGTCGGAGATTTAGCGACTCAGGGAGAGCGATTACAGTCGCTACTCAGCTGGAGGGACCCTCGAGCTACATCACTCTTTGTGATCTTCTGTTTAATTGCCGCCATTGTTCTTTACGTCACACCGTTTCAAGTTGTGGCACTTTTTACAGGCTTCTACATGTTACGCCACCCTCGGTTTCGCCACAAGCTGCCATCAGTGCCGCTCAACTTCTTTAGAAGATTACCGGCAAGAACCGACTGCATGCTGTGAGCTAAAAGGACGCGACTTTTGGCCAAATTTTACCGAGATTAGCCGTTGTGGTGTAAAAAAGCCGACTTTTTACTGGTATGGCTCGTAATTGTTGTTGTTTTCGGGTTCTGTATTTTGTGGATCTTGTGGTTCATCCATCTCAACTCAACAGTTGTGCTACTTATAGTTTTGTAGGTTGAGTTATGATTCGAATCTATCCATGGTTAAATCCTTTACCGAGCTTTTCATTTCTGTTTTCTTGATCAAGAATATGCATATTTAGCTACGAATCTGATGCAAGTTTTGATCTTGGATTTGAATCACCATGTATGTGGATCCAATATATATATATATATATATATATAGTCAGATTCACAGGAGAATAATAACCAAATAAGGGAATAAGAAAACGATAGAACCACATGATTCTCACACGACTTTGGCCATGTCGTCTGCACACCATTGTATTGATCGTTGGTGTAAAATCATGTGATTTAGTCGTTTTTGTGTACTTTTATTTGGTTACTGTTCTCATTTAAGAGAGAAAGAGGAAATGATCCGAGTTTAACTGGTGCGCCTCATAAGCCCTCCAATGGAGGCTAGACATGCACATGCTGTCCTAGAATGTCAAGAGGGGGATGGACGGATACAAATTGGGGCTATTTTTGCCAAATAATTCTCTATTGTATTTCTATTTTTGGGACCATAGTCTGATAAATTTTGGTTCTAATTCATTATGAGAATATGTGGAACCATGTTAGATTGTTCTCCAAAAAAGCCCTTAGCAAGGTGAGATTCCAACATCTATTCAGTAGAAATCGTCAAAGTTTAGCGGATAACGAAACCATTAAAGTATCTTCTTTTCAGGCAACCAAGAGCTTTTATACTGTTTTGGGGTGTCGTTGCACCATAACTACTCTACTTTACGTGGGTGGCACCTTTATGTGTTATCCAATGTATATTTTCTGAATGATTAGCGAAAATGGTAAATCTTTGTGCTCCATGATATGCTTTTCGTGCCAGTATTCTACTACGATAGATATTATCAGTTGTCATCATCTTTATCAGATATCCCCAGAAAAAAAATGGACCTTAAATAATGAATGAGAGGTATGGGGTTCGACTCCAGTAACCATTCACAAGTTTTTGGAATACAATTCATCTCTTGTTGGTCGTGAGACAGGTACAATTGGAGGTATTATTTTAGGTTTAGGTTGAAAATGGATGAAGAAAGATGGGGTGAATGAGACCCATATGCATGAGCATGAACATGGTTTTATTCCAAAAGCATTATTCTTGTTTTGAATATTTTGTTATTAACTCTGTGTCTTTGTCTTTATGTTGTTTGTGGTTTTGATCTCCTTTTCTTATTTTTTATATAAATAGAAAAATTATTTTCAGAGTTTTGTTTTAGCAACATCACTCGAATATTAAAATTAATTCTAAAAATTGTTTAAAATTATAAATTAATGACAAAATTATAAATTAATGTAGATTAATTTATATGTAATGATTATTTAAAATTATAAATTAATGTAGATTTTTTTCCCTTGAAATCTGTTTTTTAACAAATCCAAAATTTATAATATATATTATAATCAATTCAAAATTCTTTTGATTAATATATTATATTATTAAAAAAAAATTCCTACTTTGTTTATACTAATATATTATATTATTAAATATTTGTTTCGATTATAATATAAAACATCGTTATTGACTAAATTTTAAAATGTTCTTTTTGTTCATTTTACATGTTTATCAGTTAGTTTTTATCAAATATGATTTGTCCATTAGCTAACTTATTACCTAGTTTATGAAAAATAGCCTATAACTTGAACTATAACAAGAGAAAGTAATTATTTATTCATTCTATCAATAAAATAAAGTCAAATTATTTTTATTTTATAAATTTCCTTTTTAAAAATATTAAAATAATTATATAATATTTTAATAATATAATAAATGTTAAGGAAAATCTATTAAAGTTAAATATAATTCTTTTGAATATTTACATAAACAACTATATATATATATATATATATATTATTTTATTATTATTATTATTATATTAGAGATTTGATTAGAATTTGAATTATTTTTTGTGTCAAATAAACCCAAATTCTAAAAAATATAATAAATATTATTTGAGTAGGTGGATTTTAAAACTTTACAGATGTAAACCACATCCTTTTATAAAAGCAGTGTTGGACTCATGCATTTTCTCCTTTATTATTTCTTTTTTATTTATTCTACTTTCTCAACATACACAATTACTTCATATCACTTATTTTAAAACCTCTTCTTATATTCAGAGACGGATCCATATTTTTTTTTTCAAACGATGACATTATTTGACTAAGAAAATGACACTAACATGATTCAAACTTAGGTCTGGGGTGGAATAAAAGTCTTGCAAACCAACTCTACCGAATAAAACATGTTCTCATTGTAGTTTCAAAATACATATACGGTGGCACACAACTAATTTAATACGGTTGAACTTTTTACGAACCTAATTTTTTTTACCTTTCGATGGTGGAATAATACAATAGCACGTGCCATCGTAACCACTATACTAGGTCTGTCCCTGCTTATATTCCTTTCAGTTTATGTTAAAATAAGATGAAATCACACATTAAAAATGTAAAAAGTAGGCCTTCGTGTTAGGAATGGCCCCAGTGAAATGCATATTTTATTGATCGTGTTAAAATAAGATATCTGAAAGAGAGTTGTCAGACGCAGTTTTATAATCATATCTTATTGATCGTTGCATGTATAAATTCCATTCAGGATTGTCTAAAAATTTGACTAAACGAGCTACAACTTTCATATTTGAGTTCTGAAGATTCTATATTTTTTTTATTAACCTAGATATTCAACATGTTATGCAATCCGACTAATCACATGACGACCATCTGCTTCGTGGGTAGTCTGAAGTCACCGCATTTGAACCTCTATAGCCAGAAGGGGATTTTTATTCCTTCTTGGATCGAGATTCTATGTTTATTTGTGCTGACAACAAAAATATCCAAATATAATGAGGGGTAAAATGGTCTTTCCATATACATATTTATTAACCTAACTATATAAACAACAATAGGGTGCTAATTAAGATTTTTGCACATAAGTTGACAAGAATGTCGTTTGATATGAACCGCTAAATATCCTTCAAACTGTAATTTATCAGTGTTTTAATTGATTGACAATACGAGGACAGTACATTGGTATTGTTAGACTGTACCGCACACATGAGTTTACTCGATGGGTTGGATCAGGTTTATGTATGTATCGTTTAGACAATGCAATTGAAATGCGTGAAAAATAGAAAACACTAAAATCGGCAAATTAAAAACTTAACCGATTCATGAAAAATGAATAAGCTTGATTCGTCCAATTTTGAGCTTAATAAAGTTTTCATCAACACATTCGTATACACGTAACCTCAGCTCCAAACCAGTAACGTTTTAACGTCATTGCAGTTATAGAAGTTCACATGCGATGACTCTAAATCATCGTGATCGCCTAAGAGTTCACTCAATACAGGTAACCTGATCTAGACATCTGCAGTTTCAAAAAAAGGTTATGTTTGTTTCTATTTTTTTAATTTTTATTTAATTAAATAATTTGTCCATTTTTAATCAAGACAGAAACACATGGACAGTGGGCCACACGGATATAAGCCCATTTTGTCTCCAACTGTTGTCAGTTATGTTTAGGGAGCCCATTTTGGGCCCATTTCATTCAAATTCAAACTTTTATTTATATCCTTGTATTTTACTAGAATCTAAATTTAATTTTAAATTATTTTTTATTAGCATTTCAAACCAAAAACATAAAACTTAAAATATGTAAAAATTTAAAATATTTAATAAAAAACTTATTTCCTCTCTTTACATTTTTAATCTGAAAACTCTTATTGATGGAAATAATGAAATATAACAAAGTTTTTAAAATCAATAAATTGTATGAAAAAATAATGTATTTTAACTTGATTCTTATTTTGAGTAACATATTTTTAAAACTTTTTTTGGTACTTAAGATGTAAAGTTTTAAATATTTAAATACCTTAATAACTGGTTGAAACATTAACCGATTACCATATTGATTTTACCAGTGATTCGACTTACCTTTTGAATTTAAAAGTCAATACAACTTTATACTGAGTTGGATATCACATCAGCATAGTTCCGATTAAGTCTAAATATTTAAAACTTTACATCTTAGGTACAAAAATGAAAGTTTTGAAAGTACGTCACACAAAATATGAATAAAGTTAAAGTACGTTCATTTCTTCGTACAATTTGCTCTTTCAAAATCTTCATCTTCTACAATTTAAGAAATCTAATAAATATCCTCCCCCATTTCATTCCATATCCCATCAATGAAATTAAAACACATCAGATTTTCATTTATATAATTCATGTTTATATTTTTCATATTCATATGATTGAATATTGATGGACAAAACATGGAAATTTGGGACATCAGTTTTTCATTCCATTAATATATGCAAACGCTTATTTAGGTAAGAGTTTACCGTAAAATTCAACTTTATCACTTACCTATCGAATGAGATTTTAATCCACCAAAAAAAAAATACCGTATGCAACAATTTATCTGGTAAACATTAACCATGGTAAGAATCGTTGTTTTCACTTACCAGGTAAGACTCTTAGTCCTTGCCTTCACTCTTATCAGGTAAGATTCTTGATACTTATCATATTCATCCGATAAAACAATTTAACTTGACAAGTGTATCCAATTTTTTATTAACTTAAAATAAGACGCATCAAGTTGATCAGATACATCTTTAGAACCCTAATTTTCTTCCATTGATAAAAATGGGTCAACGGGCAGTCGGGCAGCCCTAGGCTATTACTGAATCTGCCCTGCCCCATAGTTTTAACAAGTTAACCCTAATTACAGAATGCATCCTCCTAATTGTTAACAACATTCCAAAGAGTATATAAAAACAAAGACCATCTTCAAAACATCAAAAATAACCCAAAAGGGAACCCTCATCTTTGCTTCTACTCTTGATCTAATCGCAAAAAACCCGCACCCGAACTCACTGCAATTTGATGCGGTCAAGGCTGTCAGAGACCATTCGCATCTTCGGTCGAACCTCAGGGTCAAGCTCCGTGCAGTTAAGCGCGACGTGAAATGCAGCCACCACCTGTTTCTTGGAATGCACCTCCTGCAATAACACCGGATCGATAATCTCCGATAACGGTCTTTCCTCCCGAAACACCTTCCTCACGAAGCTCTCGAGCCCTTTCCCGTCATTATCGAGTCCGCCGCAATCCGGACCCCGGCCCGTCAACATCTCCAACAACACAACTCCAAAAGCGTACACATCGTACTTCGGGGTCAGCTTCTGGCCAGACATCCGGGCTTCTGGAGCCACGTAGTAGATGTTTGATGACGCAGCCGACGAGTCTTTCGAGCTCGTGACTGACGGTTGGCTCGAGCTGCTGAGCTTTAGGGAAGTCGATTTTGAGATGGTGGACGACACCAGACGGTTGAGCCCGAACCCGGAGATGAATGGCTGCAAGTCGTTATCGAGAAGGATCTTCGATGATTTTATGTTCCCGTGAACAAGTTTCCGAGGGCTGCACTCGTGGATGTGGGCTAGACCCCTTGCAGTTCCTTGTGCAATCTTTAATCTCGATGCCCATGATAAAGGCTGCAAAGGGTTAGCCAGCCCACCTACAGCTTATAACCAAAACCGAAGAAACAATTAGCAATACAGCAAAGCCGTTCCAAAGACGTAAGAAACACAAAAACGCAGCAACGAAGAACGATTTTGAGCAAATTATGGAACATAACGGCACCTTTTGTAGAAATTGCTTATTGCAAACGACACCGTTGCTAAGAAAATTGGGTTTATAGAATACTAAAAATGTCTAATCGAAATACTTTTACATACCGTGCGAAAATAATAAAATATGCCCCTAACCCTATTTTTTTAAACCAATGAAACATGCGGGGAACATAAAAACCAAAACCCCGAATAAAAACCAAATACAATGAGGGGAACATAAAAACCAAAACCCCGAATACAAAATATAAATGATAAAAAGGATAAATCTTGGATTAAGATCATGCATCCTTCTTTTCCAAATTTTCCTTTTCCAAATTTAAATTAGCAAAATAGAAACTTTATTTCAATATATGAGACTTAAAAGACAAGGAAAACTATAATTAGTTTTAAACTAAGATAGTAAATTACATCCAAGTTGCTGTCATAGTAAGCAAAAAGTAAAACTCAAAAGTTACAGGTATAATGACTAAAGGCTAAGAACCTATCTGTTAGCAACTTAATAAGTTTAATGGAACTAACAGCTTCTTCGCTCAACTATGCATGACTGTTTCGTAGTGGCTTAATGATATAAAAAGTGACTTATCCAATAAGCTTTTAGGGGGAGCTTTATATAGAAAGCCAAAAAAAAATTCCAAACATGTCACTTCCAACTAAAAAAACGCTCCTTACATCTACGAAAAAACTCTCTCAAACAAAAACTTTTCCAACTTTATACAAACGAAAACTTTTCCAACTTTTTCCAACGATGTGCATTCAGTACTCATCACTACTAGGCCTTGAGCCTATTTTTATAGTTAAAGCTCAGTTGTCTGATTCCCAAATTATTAAACCCAAAACTAGTAATAAATGACAACTTGGTGCCCCTTTAGGCTTTGATGCCATGTGCGGCCGCACGTGGCCAGGGCCGGTCTTGGCTGTTTGGTTAGTTTTCCGTTATGTGTTGTATAAATAAAGTTGTCTATGTGGATTAATATGTATATATGGATAGGAAAAGTTTGTGTTTGAGAGAGTTTTTCATGGATGAAAGGAGCGTATTTCTTTGTAATGCATAAAGCTACCCTAAAAGCATTTGGCAGAGCACCTGAAAGAACTAACAAACGAGAATCCTAAAGCATGCAGAGTACAAGTTCACTACATAAAGGTACAACTCATTATAGCACAATATTTCAGAAAACAAAGTGTGTAAAAGTGGTCCTAAACCATTTTAGCTGCTGGGTCCCTTTTGAAACAGATCATGTGGTTCATATAGCAATAATTTACCATCATGTAAAAGGGGTCCATTTCCATTTTCTTATCAATCTCAATCATCCTTTTTCATGAAAATTTCCAACATTTTTCCGAAAAAGATTACACGTAAAATGACTGTTTTACCCTTACGTGTTTTAGCAACAGGTAGAATAAAACATGAAGTGCCGTTTGTTTTCTGTCATTCAAGCACCAATTTCGTGAAAATGGCAACATTTTTTGCTTTATAAACGTTCCGTTTTTTCGTTTCTTTTAAAGATTACACGTTGTAAAAGACTCTTTTACCCTTATGTCACAAGTACAATAAAACATGAGGTGAAGAACAAATTTCGTAGTGGGATATTATCGGGTCCATATTTGAGGGAAATAAATGAGATTCACATATGAATCCAAGTGTTTCGAGTATAGTACATTTGTTGGTATTAGGAGCAATAGCCACTTAGAAAATACCATAACAGACTGCAACAAGTTCATAAAGAACATAATGCCTGATCCTACCTTACCCAAACAAGATTCACCAAATCTTTCGTATCTTATCTGCCACATAAAATACCCACATATTCTTCTTTCTTTTCAACCAGACAACATGATACAATTTTTAGAAAAATTGACCAAAATAGATAATCTTCCCAACCAAATTCACTTTTTAGCCACTTTTCAATCAAATTCCTATTTGCGCATTTGCATAAACTCGAGTTTCAGATTAAAGAAAAAGAAGAAAAATCTTTTTGCAAATTTACGTAAGGATCCACGTTTGCTAGAAAAAAAATCCTTTTCTTTCAATCTGAAAATGGGATTTACACAAATGCACAAGGCAATTGCTTAAACTTCGGTTCCAAAAGTGACTTAAAAAGTAAATTTGGTAGACTGGTTATCTTGCTCAATTTCCCCAATTTATAACTACCGTTCGTAAAGTAGCATTTTAGCAAGTTGAGTAAGTAACACTTTAGCAACTTTAAGCTAAATTTAACAAGTTACGAAAATGGCAGAAATTTAACAAGTTACGACTAGTTTTTCAGCTAACAGCTAAATTAACATCTAGTTTATCGAACAGAAACATTAAGCATGGGAATAATCAAAGTCTAAGTAAATTAGGGCAAATGAATGCTGGATTAGAAGATAGTGTACTTACCATGAAGCGCAGAGTACAAGCTTCCATTGCTGATAAAATCCGAAACGAGAAGCTTCTCATCATTGGCATAGTAATAAGCTCTGAGCCTGACTATGTTAGGGTGTTGAACCCTCCCTATGGTTTCCACCTCCGTCTCGAACTCCTTAAGCCGCCATGTTCCGTCGCCCTCGCTCAACCGTCTCACGGCGACCACCGAACCCACCGCCGTACCGGAACCCCGTCCAGCCACCACCTTGTAAACTATCCCATTCTTACTCTTTCCAACCACATAAGCTGATGCCCTCAATAAATCCTCCAATTCCAATCCAAACCCTTCATCCATCACTACGAACTTACCGTCTTGTCCTTCTTCTTCGTTAAAATTCACAGTAACCTGTTCATTCTCTGGTTTTTCTTTTTTCCCTAATTTTCTTTCGCTAGACCTCCATTTTTTCCGGTATACCCACATGGAGAAAAACATTATTCCGATGACTACCGATACGCCGGAGATTAAAGGAACCGTAACTGACCCGGAACTCCCATTGGTTTTGCCCGATAACCCGGTTAAAGAACCCAGGTCTTTGGGGGTATCCGGGTTAGACAAAACCTTAGGATTCTGAGCTTCCGGGTCGGAGCATTGTGTTCCTAAAGGAAACCCACATAGAAACGGATTTCCGGTGAATGCGGTTGGCCCCTGGTTAAGCAAAGAACCCACCAGCGGTATCTTTCCGGTGAGGTTATTATAACGGAGGTCTAAACTAACCATCACCTGAAACAACCCGTAGGACGGTGGAATCTCACCGGACAAGTGATTGTACGACAAATTAAGCGTCCCGGAGAGGTTTGTGAGGTTGCTGAGAGACACCGGAAGAGACCCATTTAAGAAATTAGAAGATAGATCCAAAAACGTGAGAAATTTGAGAGTTGTGATTTTCTCCGGTATGGGTCCGGTGAGATTGTTGTGAGAGAGGTCTATAGAGAGAAGACTGGTGGCATTGAAGAGGTTTTCCGGTATGGGTTTGGAGAAGTTGTTGTTAGAGAGAGAGAGATGGCGGAGAGAGAGTAGCGCACCGAGCTCTGACGGGAGGTAGCCGGTGAGATTCTTATTGGGTAGAAAGATGCTTACAACACGGTGGTTAGAGTTGCAAGAGACGCCGGTCCAGTGACACGGCGTTGAGTCGGAGTCGGTCCAGGTGGTGAGTGACTTAGTAGGATCGCCGGTGACGGCGGCCTTGAGTGCTAATAGCGAAAGCCCATCAGAGTTCAATGAAGACGAAACAGACACACAGATTGTAATAAAACAGAAGAAAACTAGAAGAATTGTGATGGAATTCATGGCGGTTGGATTCAAATTATGAAGCTGATGAGCATCGATTCATAATGCAACGAGGGGTTGCAGGAAACCGGAGGAAGATGACGACGAAGTTTGTGTGATAGAAATTTGAATTCTTTATGGGTGGATTAATCGAGGTTGGTGATGCAGTAACATGGGGTTTAACAAGTTTTTGAATTTTAATGGTTTCTGTTGTATTATAAAGAACGTTGGGATGCGTGGCAATATTTCATTTATACCCTCTATCTTTCCATAAACTCAATATAAGCCCTTTATTTATCAAAAGCATCAAAAAAATTCCTCCAACTTTGTAATTTTCTATAAAATACAAAATTTTGTGCAGGTGTCAATTTTGTACCAAAAGAAACCAAACGATTTTCATACCAATTTAAATGGTATCAATTTACCTAGTTGATAGTAATGTATCAGCTAGATAAACTTGGTTGGCACATGATATTAGAAATTGGTATAATACTATATAAAATATACAAACCCCAAATTGTACTGCAAAAATTATAACCCTCGTGATTTGATGTGGTGCAAATGGATTGCGCGGGTTGGGTGGTAAACCGAGCACATCTAGTTAAATCCAATGTATTTTTCGAAATTATTTGTTCCAAGTGATTTTGACTTAAAACTCCTATAGTTCTATAACAGTTTATAAAAAACGAATAGATTATATGAAGTTGATAGACAATCAAATATAATAGAAGTAGAGGGGGTGTAAATGAAAATATAGAGTGGGATGTGTTTTTACTGATCCCGTCGTTACGTTAAGGTTGAAATAGAACACACAAAAAACACTCCTTTACTTCTTCGCTATTTGTCCCCACCTCCCAATTTCCTCTTTTTTTTTTTTTTTTTACAATTAATATATTTGTAGTTTTGTTTTTTAATATATCATTTCAAATTAAATAAGATCTAAAAATTTCAAGCATGTGTGAATAAATTATATTGATTTTTTATATAAAATATATTTAATTTATAATATTTTTTTATGTTGAAGTGAAATTGAATAGAACTTAATTAATATTAAAAAAAAACCTGTAATATGCCTAACAAGGCTTATATGTTAAAACAAAAGAAAAGAAAGGATGGTTTATATGATTTGAAAAGGGGCAATGCAAAGGACAAGACACCATGCTTTTCAGTTTCCACTTGGATTCATGTCAAGCACTGCCCAACAAAAAGCATGCCATTAGTGCCATATAATAGAGAGGGAGAAGAGGCGATTAAATAAAAATCACGTTTATTTGTACAAATCGTACAAACTATTTTCATACGTCGATTTTACTGTTTAATTTTAAAAAAATTAATGAAATTGTTTAATCTTGTGAAATTGTTTTATATAATACTTTTTTTTGATGAATTTGTTTCATATATGGTTATGAAATTGTTTCATATAATATTTAATGAAATTATTTCATATATTTCTCTGAAATTAAAATAATGAAGATGATAATATCCATGATTAACACCTTCCACAATAAAAATGGTTAATCAACCTCTCATAATTACAAAAAAATGAACAAAATGAAAAACTATGATTGGTTGAATGTGGTTTTCACGGTTTTTACAAATTGAGTGGTTTTTATTTAAACGCTCCCATATATATATATATATATATATATATAGTATATTTATTTTACAACCTTGTGTATTTGTACAACCCTTGCACCCCAATTAATTGAGATATTTATAGAAATGATGAGAGTTCATTTATTATGATTTGAATATTTATGGAATATGAATAGAGTTTATTAATTATGATTAATACTTTATATTAAGAAACAATTAATACTTCTATGAAATCACATATTCATCAAATGAAATGGACGGTTGAGATTGGGTTGTATTGGTTGCACAAATATCAAGGGTTGTATAATAACCAACATATATATATATATATATATATCGTTTCAAATACAATTCATCACATTTATACAATCAATGCAACCCAATAAATTGAGTTATTTATGAAAATGATGAGAGTTCATTTATTATGATTTAAATATATATGGAAGATGAGTAAGGTTCATTAATTATGATCAATATTTTATATTAGGAAATAATCAAAACTTTTATGAAATCATATATTCATCAAATTAAATGAACGATTGAGATTGAGTTGTATTGTTTGTACAAATGTAAATGGTTGTATGATAACTCACATCTCTCTCTCTGTATATATATATATATATATATATATATATATTATATATATATATATATGTGTGTGTGTGTGTGCGCGTGCATGAAATTAGAACTAATTAGTTTATGGTAACCGTGAGGACCAATAACCACAAAAAAATAGATAAATTAGGAAATTTATAATTTTGAATTAAAATTTTAATGCAAGGACATTTTAGGTATTTTAAAACTCTCATCTCTTCTCTATTCTTTCTCCATTATCCAGTGATACCACAGTGGTATCACAATGCATCTTATATGTGCTTGAGTATCACACTGAGGTCGTTTATGTGATCGATCGGAGATGTAACACAATGGTATCACAATGCTTCTTATATGTATTTGGATATTACACTGTGTCTTTTGTTTAACATAGTCAATATTTTTAGGTTTCACCTAAGGCCGGGGGACGGAGAGAGAAGAGAGGAGAGAAAATACTTAAAATGTTCTTACATTAAAATTTTAATTCAAAATTACCAAAATTATAAATTTCATAATTTATCTATTGATTTGTGGTTGAAATTGAATCTCACGATTACCACAAACTAGTTAGTTCTCCCTTGAATGAACCCCTATATGTGTGTGTGGATAGGTTCAAACAATAAACTAAACATTTTACGAGAATACAAGAAGTTTCAATATTGTATATGATTACACGCATAATACACAAACTTGATCATATATGATTAAACATATATATTGCATTGATAACATATAGACGCTTAATCATACATAATTAAACACACTCAAATAAATATAATCATATATGATATTAAAACTTTACATCTTCTCAAATAATTCTTCCCATATATACACACTCCAACGTTTTAGTAGAGATAATATTTGATCCTTTTAGTTTTCATTCTAACATGTTATGTTAAACAAATTTGATTGTAATTCTTTTTGTACCTTTTTATGATTAAAAAAAAAGAATCAGATTTTATAAAATACGTAAATAGTTGGTGCAAAGACATGAATAAAAATCCCTTTATGGTCACGGAGATTCAAATGCAGTGACTCCGAATTATCTGCAAAGCAAGTGGTCGTCATGGGATTAGTCGGCTCGCATAGCGGCTTGGATATCCAGGTTAATCAAAAAAATAATAATTAATCATCATATATGATTTTGTATAATGATACTTTCAACTTCTAAAATCTTCTCATTTTTTCTTAGCGAAATAATAAAACAAGTTACATATCAATAAAGTATAACCCGTCGTTCAAAACAATATAAATAACAATAACATTAACACATTAAGGGACCCTTTACCCAATTGCTTATTCGGTAAGCGTTTACCGATAAGAGTCAACACTATGATTTATTTTGGTGTGTAAGATTTTAGTACATCAAAACATATCGAATACAACAATTTACTGGGTAATCGTTTACCTAGGTAAGAGTCGTTATCCTCACTTACCGGATAATACTCTCCATCATTCTCATTTCTCTTATCCGGTAAGCATTTACCAAGTAAGTGTTTAGTAAACGGCTCCTAAGCATCTCCAACAGCCTCGTTAGAGATGTTCTTAGGTATTGTTTGGCAAACATAAGGTAGCATAAATTAATTTATCTTTTGAATACATGTTTGAATGAACATAAACTAGCTTGAAGTAGTCATTTAGGAGTCTTTTGCATTTTTTTTCCAATTATAAATCTCATTAATATTAGTTATTATTTATTACTGTTAATTATAAATAAATATTAATTATTACTAATATTCATAAATAGTAATTAATATTAATATTAATTATTTATC